TTTTTTTTTTTTTTTTTTTACGTGGATCATTCTATTCTTGTTTCTTTCGATTTCAGAGCTTTCTTGCTTTTTACTTCAAAAAAGCAAGTTGGAAGTTTTTTCTCTGATTTGTGGATCGTTCTATATTCATTTTCCTTTCAGTTCCACAGCTGTTTTTGTTTTTTTCGAAGGAGGCAATTTGGAAGTTCGTCTGCGACGTGTGGATATGTTTTGTTTATTTTCCTTCTTTTTCTTTCAGTTTCGCAGCATTTTAATTCTCTTTGGAAGTGAATCAGACGTCGCTTGTTCTTATTTCTACTATTATTTTCTTCTTTTTCTCTGTTTTCTGGAGAATATTTGTAACGTGAATTCAGGATGAAAGTGTCGCTGAATTTTTAATCCTGATTTGGTTTTAGTAAGTATTGTTCATATTTAGTAAGTGTAATTGTACACGGTTGATCAATGTTTAGAGGAAGGATTTTTAATAGTAAGCCAAGAATTATTAATACACGGTTAAAATACAGATACGTATTTGAATAGAATTTCTTCGACTTCATCTGGAGAATACGAATCCAACTGACCCGACGTAATAATTTCACTGCGGCAATGAAACAATCTCGCAATTGAAAGTGTCACTGGCCATTTGTAAGGAGGGGGAAAAAAAAAAAAAAAAGGAAGAACCGGAAGGTTGAATTTCAAGTAGAATGCACGTAGGCAAACGAAAAACCTACAAAAACTCACGGTCAAGATTCCTCAGGTTCAGGCGGTGTCGGTGCAGCTGCACCACCCACGCATATGATAGATACGCCACTGCCTTCAGCATTGTTTCTTTAATGATTCATATAGGGTGATTGTACGAAGTGTATAGAGGAAGCAGTTTCCAACTGCAAATGCAATGAGCTTGCGCCGTATCGGAAATATTAAATCCTGCCGGTGTCGTTGACGGCCTCCGTGTGTAAAATACGTGGATTGCACATTTTAATGACGATTATAATATGCAGGCGACTTTCGTTCCTTTAAATTGCAAATCGTTGCTTTCTCGCTCCGCCGACAGCGAGACTTCGTTTGAACAAATTTCTGCGATTAATCCCTTTCTGGCTCGGGATATAAAAATCAAAAAAAAAATACAAGTTTCGCAGCTTTCTTTTTCTTTCATTTATTTTTCATATTGCAGCTCGTATTTATTGTAGTTTATATTTTATTACAGCATTTTTTGTTATACAGCACGTATGAGTATCCTTGGAAAATATTTGTACATGTTCAAATGTGTACGTAGAATATACTACAAATGAGACTTTCTAGTTTGATATTTTTTATATTATTTTGAACACATGTAGTGAAGAACTGTAGTATTTTAAATAGTAATAATACTTCGGTCATAGGTTCCAAGAGAATATCTACTAAGATATTGATTGAAATAATGGATAATATTGATATAAAAAAAGGTGATTGAAAACTTAGTTTGCAGAGACTAAGTATATTGGGACATCGAAGCTTTCATGAAGTGTCCAATTTTAGATCTTTGGTTTCCAGATAGCTTGACCAGATGAAGTTTATGTTTGTAAGATATGGCATAATCTATATTGGGGAGCATAAACTTCTTTACAAGACCAATTTAGGAGTAAGATAGATATCTGAAATTGAATACAGTATCAAAAAAAAAAAAGAAAACAAGAAAGAGAATTTTAAAAATAATCCATCAATTGCATTAAACTTGATCTGAATCTCTAACTTATAATCTGACAAAAATTTTATTTCAAATCATCTACGTCAATCATTGTCGAACATTATCCAACTAGAGTAGTAAGAATATCCTTTGATTCAACCACTCATAGAATATCGTACACCAAGGA